TAGTTGGGCGAGTTTTGCTATCTCAATTTGTTTGTTTTTGTAATTAAGCACAAAGCTACACAATGGGCTATCTGTGCTCTGCCCACCACGGGTATAGAAACTAGGATTCTAGCGTTACAAGTCCACAGAATCTCAATTTGTGCTCTTATTCTTTCTCTCTCAATTTACAGACTTTCGTTCTCTTCTCAATTTGTATTCTCATTTTCTAGCCTCTCCTTTCTCCCATTTGCTTCTTGCAGTCTTTTTTCCCCTCTAGTTTAACAAATTCTCGTTGTTCATTGTCTTTTAACCCAAGATGAAATACTTTCTATCCATTTATCAAAATCATTTGACATGGTTGTTATGCGTAATTGTCATCTGTATACTATTTTCGTTACTACTACACTTGTGTGTATACAGGCCTACTTATTTCAGCTGTTGTTCACGTTTTATTCTATCGCCATTTACCACTGTATAATCCTGGCTAGCTCGCTAATTGTCGAAATATTGGGCTTATTCTTCTTAATATTATATATAGCAGTAGTATTTAGTAAGTAGGTTGAATAATATGGGTGTTGGGCTAAGGATTATTCTACAGTAGGTGTCTGTGATAAATTCAGAAATGAACAAACAGCACGCATTTCACTTGTTTTCAAAATAATGTATATATATTCGAATTAGTTGAATTTATGTACAAGAAATTCTTTACACTATAGAGATCATAGTCATATCATAAATACTATGTGTAGTTCTCTTCTTGTCAAAAGTCCACTTAGGCTTATCCAATTGCTTTAGAATTTCAGTTCACAAGCCGAACTACTTTTCTCTATTTCTATCGCACTAGTATCCCGTGTATAATTCAATTACAATTACAGCATGAGTTACCACAGTCATATACTGCTCTTCCAGTAATCTTTTGGTCCTCGTACTTCAGATATCATCTGTTCCTTTCGTCAAAGTGCACTCAGGCTGGTTCAATTACTTTAGAACTCGCTTTGACGGAATAAATTATACTTCTTAGCCGTTTTAAAACTGTTAGTTTTACTCTATAACTTATTAATTGTTAGGCCTATATAATCCATTAGGCCTTTCACTTCACGGCAGTTAACATTAAGTTTAACTTTTCTTGGCCGAACTTCTACTTCTCGTGACTTTACTTTCTCGTCTGCTTTTCCTGCTCATCTCACACTATTTATATATTTATCACTTAATCGTCTGCTCGACCTCTAGAAATCTCTATATCCTCAACATGAATGAGTTATAAACACAACGTACAATTCATTCCGAGTTATGTAACTATACTTGTCATAAAGTTTACTTTAAAATAATTGCTTTAAATTATCTTATGAAAAAACTAAATCATGAAATATTCACTCAGAAAATAAATACATTAATAATACCTACCTTAAACAGTCATTTATATCATGACAGACTGGTCAGTGTCTGTTCTGCAATCAAAAATAGGATGGTGTAAAACAAAAGCATATATGAGTTTCAACTCTAAAAATGAACAAAATATTAGGAGTTGCCCAATATGATCCAACAATGAGAGTTCAAGTTGCAGATGCACATGATCTCATAGGTGAAGCCAAATATTATCTTGCATGCTATATAAAGTTTATGAGAAAGCACTTACAACAACAGAAAGACAAATCTGAGAACATTGAGGTTAGCATGAGTTGAATTTATGATCTACAGGAGCATGCACAGAATGGAAATGTTCTTGAATTATAAGTGTGGGAATATTATTGCACTGTGATAGTAAAGGCAAATATTCAAGCATTCATGCAAAGGCTGATGTAGATATTTCTTCAAAAGCTACAGATGTTTAAGCAAAATAATGTATCACTACCTGGGGATGACAGCTGTAACTTCAAGAAAGCCAAAGTGCTATTGCATTCACTAAACTGCTAGCACTTTGGTGAAAAAGTGTTAACACTGTCTTCTTTTCATGCAATTAGTGGATGTTATATGGTATTTCATATACCAGAAATAAGTATGAAATCACCATGGAAGGTGTTTATCTACTTCTTAATAGTGTTGGTATTAGAGAGTTAACAGATAAGACTGTAAATTGAACAGAAATGCCTACCTGCAAGTTTTATAATCTACCAAATGTGAATGCATGTGATAAAGCCAAAGTTGTGCTTTTTTTGCAAGTCGAAATCACAAGGTCTAACCCCTCCCCCACTTCTGATTGAGTGAAACTGCATATTCAGCATTTATATAGAATTTCGCATGTGATACAACACTGGGGTGGTTCTACATTGGTGTAAAATTAAAACCAAAATGAGTGACACTGCCCCCCAATTCCACACAGATGCAAGGATATCTTAACTTGTCTATGTTGTAAAGGATGTCTTTCATAGTAATACAGCTATTTCAAATTGCTGCTATCTATAGATGTTTTACGAACTGGGGAATGTTAAAGACTAACTTTCTTAGGTTATAAGTGTACTTAGCTTGAACTGTTAAAGTACAAATTGAAAATAATGCATCACCAATAAGTAAATCAACCTGCTTTGTATTGTTTGTACATAGCAATGATCTTCCTTGTATACACATCAGAAATATGAACTATAATTGTTTGTTATGGATTTCGTGTGAAGCTACATGGGGCTATCTGCACTAGCCGTCCCTAATTTAGCAGTGTAAGACTAGAAGGAAGGCAGCTAGTCAAACCCGCAACCCTCAGATTGCGAGTCGAGCGCCCTAACCACCTGGCCATGCCAGGCCTATGAACCAAAAAATGCCAGCCATACTTGAAATATATATATAAACTACATTGTCTGCTCACTTTTTATATGAGATTCTTACTTACATGGTTGAAAGTTTAGCAAGTAATACCCAGTCTAAAACTTTGCCAGTAAAATGTATACTTTCAAGAAGTTCATTTTAAAAAGGCAATTTCAAGTACTTTTATGGTTTTCCAGCACTCATACAAGTCCTGAACTGATCATTAATTATCACTTCTATATTGTTAATTGTATACCACTGTTAATCATTACTTCAAAATTAAGGTGCATAATGCACTTTATTTTGGCATATTTTTTTTTTTAACAGTGTCATTTTATTTCTCATAATTTTATTGGGACTAAGTCTTTTGCCTCAGTTTAATCACATTTTCCTACATTTCATTACACTTGTTTAGTTGTCTTTTGCCTCAGTTTAATCACATTTTCCTACATTTCATTACACTTATTTAGTTATCTTTTGCCTCAGTTTAATCACATTCTCCTACATTTCCTTACACTTGTTTAGTTGTCTTTTGCCTCAGTTTAATCACA